GGCCGTGGGGCTGGGCAGCTCTTCGGTCTGCGCCTTGGGAGGGGAAGAGTCCCGAAAATGAAGGCCCGGGTGTCTCGTGGCCGGGAAGACGCCTCCCGGCCGGGAGGGGGCTGGGGCTGCACCGGCCTCGCCGTCGTATCTGGGTCACCGGCTTTAACTTTAGCTGCTCCGCCACATCTGCGTGTGTTTTCATGTGCCGCTGCGTCGCTCCGTGTTTTTCCCAGAAGGAGAAAAAAGAGAAGAAATCGAAACGGCACGAGAAATCCCGGAGGAGGAAGGCTCAGACGGAGGAGAGTGAGCAGTCGGAGGAGGAGCTCGACCCCCCCAAAGTCAAGAAATCCAGGAGTGGAGTTAAACAAAACGGGTGTACCAGAGAGGAGAGCCCGGAGAACACGAGGTTATCTTCCTTAAACGCTAAATCTGCCCACAAAAAGCGGCACGGGAATTCCAGTGAGACATCGAGTGGGGATGGCGACAGTGAGCAGGAGCAGGTAACGCCAAGCGTTGATTTCGTTCCAGCGGTGGGTTTGGCTTTCAAGGGTTAATATAGAGCAGGTTATGCCTTCCTTTCCTTCTCTTCTAATCGGTGGAAAGACTGCTGTACATTTCCAGAATTTCTGACCTGTTCCTTTGGTTGATGACTAGCAAAACCTTTAAATTATGAGAAGTCCTGAAGTTTTGTATCAGTGCACCATGGTTTCCTCACTTCAGCAGGCTGGTGCTGTGGTTGCTGCTGGCAGGTCGACAAGCTTCAGGGAGATGGTGCTTTAATATGATTCAGCATCATTAGGCATAATGCTAATTGCTACAAACATAGTTTAATTGACTTCTTTTTGGTATTATGACTACTTGCTAGTGAGATAATCATAATAATTGTGTTTTAGCTAGTGGAAAACAAGGAGTTATGCACTAATATGTCTTTATGTATCATCTTATCAAATAGTAGTTGTTAATGTGATAAGTTGGTTCTTACTGAAACAAAATATTATGCTGTAATAGTTTTGTCAGTCTTCTTGTGCTTCTCAGTAGGAATGTTGTTATTTGACTATTTGATTTCTCTTCCTTTAAAATTACTTGACATGAACCATTTTAATTTATTTGAAGAGAAACATACCTTGCTGTACCTAGGAATTGTTTTGAACAGCCTTATACCTGCACCTCTTGCTGTTGCTTAGTTTTATTTCTTACTTCCAACTGATGCCTCACACAGCATCCAGGGCTTCCAGAGTCTTTCCTCACATTTTGCATTTTAATCATTGTGCTGTTAAAATGTAAGTGGCAGTGATGCATTACTCAGTAGCTGCATCTGATGCCCTACCTCATAGTATTGTTCTTTTGGGGGTCAATTTCTGTATCTGTAAATCAGTGCTGTATTAATGGAAAAGTAGGAGACAGGCTAGGTATCAAGTCTGATCCTTGCACATTACAGCATCATCTATCTGTTAGGCAGTGGTAGTTATTTAAAATTGAATGTTAATATTTAATTCAGAGTTTTCATTTGGGTGTTGTGCATTTAGAGGGTTATGATGTTGGATAGGAACAGCCTTAATTTAAATTACAGTTCACTTTTGTCCAACTTGGAAATATGGTAGTAGGTAAAACAAAGAAGGTTCTTGAGCTGCAGCAGAGATATTGTCACTGAACAGTGACACCAGAGCCTGTGCCGTTGCCTTGGGGTTTCTGATGGTCGTGTGATATTCACCTGCAGTATTACCTGATTGATTGTTTTCCTAACAGGAGATGACTGAAGAACAGAAAGAGGGGGCTTTCTCCAATTTTTCTATTTCCAAAGGGACTGTGCAGCTTCTTCAAGGTAAAGTTTTTCGTGTGATGTGGCCACAGAAAGTAAATGACCTCTGTCATGTGTTTTTATGCTAGACATAATGGATGAGCTTTGAGATGTGCTCTGCTTGTGTGTTTGCAAGCACAGGTGCTACAAAGAAGATGTGTTGATTGCCTGCTCTTAAATACATATTTGAACATGGACTTACTTTGTTTGCAGTATTGCCCAGCTTAGCCTTTGCAGTAACTTTTAAATGACATAAGCCCAAAATAATAACTTGAATCTGTGTGAGAATTTTTCAGTTAGCAGTTATTTCAGTGTGAATAAAGGGAAGCCAGTTATCTTCAGGGTTTTGGACATTAGGTTGTGCATGACTTGGTATGAATTAAGAATAAAGTGGTATGGAGTTTTATCTTTATAGGTAGATGGGGTGTATTACATAAAGAGAGCCTCAGGATATAAAGGCTTTAATTAATGGCTAGTCACTTAATCTGTCCCAGCTGGCACCATGTCTGGTGGTAGGAAGTGGGAGAGTAAAATGGGCAGTCTGTGCAGATGACCTCTGTGATGAAATAAATCAGTGGAGGTGATGATAAAGTCCTGACTTTAGCTTTAGAGTTGAGGGAGGATCTGCTTGGGATACATATACTCTTCCTATGAAGATTATGCAGGAACACTGGCAAAATGATGGTATTAAGGAGGTCTGTTGGCATTGTCACAGCTCGAGGGGTGACCTACCTGTTCCCTGTGCAAGTGAAGACCTTCGACCCCGTGTATTCTGGCAAGGATGTGATCGCTCAAGCACGAACTGGAACAGGGAAAACATTCTCTTTTGCTATTCCCTTAATTGAAAAGCTTCAGGGAGACTCACAGGAAAGAAAAAGAGGCCGCTCACCAAAGGTAACAGTGCTCAGTTAAGATGATTTTGCTTTGCCTTATGTCTGAGTGATTGAGTTTTAACCTGCTGGAGAAGTTCTTCAGGTTTGTGCAGGGACAAGCCAACCCACATTAAAGACTATTTGAAAGCTGTGTCTGTTGGGCTTTGCCTGCATCCTCTGCTGCCTCATACCCTCTGGTCGAGAGTAAAATGGTTATTGGATGCTTTTTTTTTTCTCCCAAATTAGTAACAGGTTAGTGACTTTTTCTGACTGGTCAGAGCTGTCTAAAACATGTTTGTTTAAACAAGTCAATACTGGGTTGTTTAAAAAATAGACTTAGTTTTCACTGGGACCACCACCAGCTATTGAAGAGGATGCAGATTCATTGTGAGCAGTCTGAGTTTTGCTAGGGAATGAATAACATCTCTATTTTCTCCCCAAATTCTTGTGATGTCCTCCAAAACTGGATAGGCCAAAGCTTATTGAATCCCTATTACTAGTGGAATTTTATTTTTAATCTGTTTAATCTTGTCACCCATCTCATAGATCACGTGAAACTCATTTCAAAACCAGTACTAGGAGTTTTCTTTGCAGCTGCCCATTCAGTTGGTTGTCCAGCTGGGAATACTGGCTCCGGATTTCGCACAGTCTTGAGGAGAAGGGAAAGCTTTCTTTGAGGGAGGCATAAGTCTTAAAAAGACTTCAGGTCCTGCTCTACCATAGTGTGCCGCTGCTTTCTTTTCTGTAACGTGTTTCGATGTTGAAAGAAGTAATGGGATAAGGATTTTAAGGCTCCTTATGTCAAAGCCACTGGTGCCAGGTTTGAGAGCAGTACTGCAATCGCAGATTAAACTAAATTAGTTAAAACTCCTGACTAGAAGCTTGTCCATTGCCCACAGTGAAGCCTGTGTATTGGAAAAGAGGGTGGTTCCTTGGCTGCTTCTGCAGGGATATCAGGACAGGCTCAAGGACCATGGTGAAGACCAGCTTGTCAGGCTGGTGTTTTTGTTAATGCCTGCTGTCCATCTCATTTAAAAAGAGGTTAGCCCATCCTAAACGGGTATGTGCTGAAGGACGTTAATGATGTTAGGAGAGCCTTAAGCAGTGTGTTTCTCTATTATATGCCAGATAACTATTTAAACCAGATATATATTTTCTCAATTATGTAAACGGTCAGACCTAAACTAACAACTAGAATTCTAGTGGTTTCTTGGCAGAAGCCACATTGAGATAACATGTTTTTGTCTTCTATCTAGGTGCTAGTTCTTTGCCCAACAAGAGAGCTGGCAAACCAGGTTGCCAAAGATTTCAAAGACATCACAAGAAAGCTCACAGTAGCTTGTTTTTATGGAGGAACTCCATATAATGGACAAAGTAAGTGGCACTTGGCATGAAATGTAGATTGACGTACTTGAGAAGTGCAGTTGGGTCCTTCCTAACTTTTTACTCAAGAACTAGAGAGTTACTCATGGGGAGTTCAGCAGCTCAGAATATGTCTTCTCATGATGAGAAATAACTGTAGCTCTCATTTACATTCTTGGTGTTTGTTGTCTACTCATGTACTCAAACTAGGACAAAGTGGAAGAGATTATACTGTGTGTATGCAGAGTATTTGGGTTTAGGTTCTTGTAAACTTATTATATTTTCTCTTAAAAATGTTTCGTCTTAGAGCCCTGAGTGGGTGCCAGTTTTTTTTTGTGTGATAGAAGATATATAGAGGATTTGTAAAGTGGAGAATTATTTCTTTATTGTGACAGCATAATTTATTGATGGTTGTAAAAAAGGCAAATGAGAGCAGGAATAATCTCTTTCACTGCAATATCCTGAGGTAATATTAGGGATTAATTCTTTTTCCTGCAAAACTTCAGGAAGGAGATGATTCCAGTAATTTGGATAGTCAAATTAATAGTTTTTTTAAAGTTTTCAATTAAAGTAGACAATTTGAGAAGAGCTAACTATTCACAAAGTGTGTTAAAAGAAGCTCTTTGTTTGTCACTATTTTAATCATAGGGAGAGGGAAGGGAGATGGTTTATCTTTTTTCCTTCAGGAAGAGCAGTAGAACTTCTACCTCAGCAGTGTTGTTTGTTGTTTGGTTTCTTTTCCCTCCTCCTATTCATCATTTATTCTCACATTTATAAGGAGAGTACTTAGGAATGGTTTAAGAAGCTGTTTCATTATGACTTTGCCACGATGTGTTTCTGATGTAGAGAGTGTTCCCTAGTTCACTGCTAACTCCTTTTCTGCTCTTTCCCATTGATCAGTTGATCTCATGAGAAATGGCATTGACATTTTGGTTGGGACGCCTGGTCGAATCAAAGACCACCTTCAGAATGGCAAACTGGACCTTACCAAGGTGAAACATGTTGTACTTGATGAAGTTGACCAGATGCTGGACATGGGATTTGCTGAGCAAGTGGAAGACATTTTACGTGTTGCGTACAAGAAGGGTAATCTCAGTTTTTAAGCAAGTAGTAGAAAATACTTACGCTTTCTAGAGTATTTTTTCTCCAAACGTTGGTAATGCATTTTAAAACATTTAAAAAGTGGAATTGCCTCCTCTATTTTATATACTGATATTTGACATATTTCTAATAGCATGTATGATCAACTTGTATACCTCTGTAAGATGAGACATGTGAAGTTAGTGAAACATTGTTCTGTGTTTTAAGATTCTGAAGACAATCCCCAGACTCTTCTCTTTTCTGCAACTTGTCCACATTGGGTGTATGATGTGGCCAAGAAATACATGAAGTCTAGATATGAACAGATTGATCTTATTGGGAAAAAAACTCAAAAGGCTGCTACAACAGTAGAAGTGAGTAACCTAATGTGTTTTCAGGCCTCTTCCCTTTTCCTTTAGGCTACAGTTCTGTGTACAGGAGGATTTTTTTAACTTCCAGCACTATCTCACCTCACTAGGCCTTTGCTTGCTATGCAGCAACCACCATAGCAAGGAATGCAATACCTGAAGCCTGCATTGATTTTCTGTACTTGATAAAATAAAGACATTGTTTCAGTTCAAGTACTGTTTAGCAGTTACTTTGACAGATCAATGGGATACATCATAATTGTATCAATAGAATTGAAACAGCCTTTATCTTCTGCTTGAAAAAAAGCTTTTAACGCACTGTTTTCTTGGCTTTATTTGCCATAAAACTTTAGTTGATAGAACTGTGATAAAATCTTGCACCTCTTACTGTCTTCCAGAGAAATGGTATAACATCTCCTGGGTTTGCTTTTTTGTTTTGTTCAAAATAAGTGAATTGTAGACTGTACTTTTTTTTTTTTTCCTCTTACTGTAATTACTTTTCTTAATGTGGTGGGTTTAAGAGCATTATGGATTTTGCCTGTTCCACAAACACATATTTTGCCCGTCAGGGAACTGTGTAACTCTTCACTATTTCTGGATTTTACAGTTTCACATGTATTTCAATAATAATCTTTTAGGTAATCTAAACACTGGAATTCTTTTCCATAGCATTTGGCAATAGAGTGTCACTGGTCTCAGAGAGCTGCGGTTATTGGAGATGTCATCCAGGTCTACAGTGGCAGCCACGGGAGGACCATTGTCTTTTGTGAGACCAAGAAGGAGGCTAATGAGCTGGCTATGAATGCTTCAATCAAACAGGTACTTTATCACCTGTATTAAGGAACAAAACCTGTCAAGAGATGGATCAACCCAATGCTGATACCAGACCTGTGCTGAAAAAGTTTGAAAGGGAGGCTTTCAGTGTGGATAAGGCAGATGCTGGCAGGTAGTCAGATAGTTTTAAACTGCCAAAAAGAATCTTTTTTAAAAAAAAACAAACAAACAATCAACAAACTGGTTGCAAGTTGGCAGCATCATAATCTTGAGACTAGGCTGCCCTAACAGATACTGGGCTACAAAGGATTTTTTTTTCATAGGAGTTCTCACTGATGTAAGGTGAAACTGCTGTGAATTATTTTTTCTGTAGAGAGGACTGTCTTGGATTAAAAAATGATGGTAGACTTGTAGAACTACTAGGATAACAGGTCATAACACTGGACTAGCAGTTACTGGACTGTGATGTTGACATCAGTTAGTGTTGTCAAAGGGGGGCATTTAGGGTTTAGAGCTGAAGATACCAGAGGCTCTATCTGTGTTGTCATTAAGGTGTTTATTAGCTGTTATGAAGAGTTTGAAGATGTATAAACAGAATTCAGTCTGCCATCTCTAGTGAATGAGCTTTGGTGTATTCCTGAGGTTTGTGCTGCAGCACACTCTGGCACTGAGGAAAAAGAACTCCTGGAGGTGGTGGTGCAATGTCCATGATGTGTAGTGATGCTGATGCTGGGTCTTGGTGATGATGCCACAGCATCTGCTTTTCCTCATAACTGTTTTCATTGAGGAGATGGGTTATGTCAAGGAAGCAGTACAGCAGCACCATCCATGGGGAAGGAGAAGCTTTTTCATCTGCCACAGCTGTGTTCAGGAGTGTTTTTCCCCACACTCCTAGATGACCTTGCTAACAGCTGAACCTGCATTACTGGGGGTGTTAGTGATATCAAATCATGCATAGGCAATACAGAATTCTGAACTTGGCAGGTAAGAGAATAAAATTACTTAGATGTTTCTGTTTTAGAATATTAATACTGCCTAACTGAATATATGCCTTAATCCAAAGCTGTCTGAAAAGGAGTTTCTTGAATTCTGTGCTGACCCTAGCATTGTGTTAGTATTATCATAGAATCCTAGGGGTTGGAAGGGACCTCGAAAGATCTTCTAGTCCAATCCCCCCTGCCAGAGCAGGGTCACCCAGAGCACATCACACAGGAACACATCCAGGTGGGTTTTGAATGTCTCCAGTGAAGGAGACTCCACACCCTCCCTGGGCAGCCTGTCCCAGGGCTCTGTCACTCTCACAGTAAAAAACGTTTTTTGGATATTCACCTTGAACCTCCTATGCTCTAATTTACACCCATTACCCCTTGTCCTATCACTGGTCATCACTGAGAAAAGCCTAACTCCATCTCCCTGACACTCACCCCTTGCATATTTGTAAACATTGATGAGGTCACCCCTCAGTCTCCTTTTCTCCAAGCTAAAGAGACCCAGCTCCCTCAGCCTTTCCTCATAAGGGAGATGTTCCACTCCCTTAATCATCTTCGTAGCTCTGCGCTGGACTCTTTCGAGCAGTTCCCTGTCCTTCTTGAACTGAGGGGCCCAGAACTGGACACAATACTCCAGATGTGGCCTCACCAATGCAGAATAGAGGGGGAGGAGAACCTCTCTTGACCTACTAACCACACCCTTTCTAATACACCCCAGGATGCCATTGGCCTTCTTGGCCACAAGGGCACATTGCTGGCTCATGGTCATCCTCCTGTCTACCAGGACCCCCAGGTCTCTTTCACCTACACTACTCTCCAGCAGTTCAGCCCCCAACCTGTACTGGGACATGGTGTTGTTCTTCCCCAAATGTAAAACTCTGCACTTCCCCTTGTTGAATTTCATCATGTTTCTCCCCGCCCAACTCTCCAACCTATCTAAGTCTCTCTGAATGGCAGCACAGCCTTCTGGTGTGTCAGCCACTCCTCCCAGCTTAGTGTCATCAGCAAACTTGCTGAGGGTACATTCTATACCCTCATCCAGGTCGTTGATGAAGATGTTGAACAACACCGGTCCCAGTACCGACCCCTGTGGGACTCCACTAGTCACACACCTCCAACCAGATTCTGCCCCATTGACTACAACTCTCTGACTCCTTCCTTTCAACCAGTTCCTAATCCACCTCACTTCCTGATCACCAAACCCATACCTGATCAACTTTTCTACAAGGATGCTGTGGGAGACGGTGTCAAATGCTTTACTGAAATCAAGATAAACCACATCTACCGCTCTACCATCATCTATCCACCTAGTAATTTCCTCATAGAAGGCTATGAGGTTAGTCAAACATGATTTACCCTTGATAAAACCATGCTGACTGCTCTTGATGACCCCCATGTCCTTGATGTGCCTGGAGATAGTCACAAGAACAAGTTGTTCCATCACCTTTCCAGGGATGGAGGTGAGGCTGACCGGTCTATAGTTACCCGGGTCCTCCTTCTTGCCCTTCTTGTAGACTGGAGTGACATTTGCTATCCTCCAGTCCTCAGGCACCTCACCTGTTGCCCATGACTTACTGAAGATGATGGAGAGTGGCCTAGCAATGACCTCCGCCAGCTCCCTCAGCACCCTTGGGTGCATTCCATCTGGACCCATTGATTTATGGATGTCCAGATTACTCAACTGATCCCTAACCCAATCCTCATCTACCATGTCAAACTCTTCCTCTATCTTGACTTCTTCTGGGGCTATATGAATCTGGGGCTCATAGGGAGACCCTGCAGGAGTGAAGACAGAGGCAAAGAAGGCATTCAGCACCTCTGCCTTCTTTATATCCTCTGTCACCAGGGCTCCCACCTCATTCCTCAATGGGCCAATATTGCCTCTACTGCTAGTTTTGCTAGCTATGTATTTGAAAAAGCCCTTTCTATTATCCTTAACCTGACTTGCAAGGTTAAGTTCCAAGGAGGCCTTAGCTTTCCTAATTGCCTCCCTACATCCTCTGACAACAGTCCTATATTCCTCCCACGTGACCAGCCCCTCCTTCCATGATCTGTAGATTTTCCTTTTCCACTTAAGTTTGCCCAGTAGTTCCTTCTTTAACCATGCAGGTCTCCTAGCACCCTTACTAGATTTCCTAACCATTGGGACACTCTGATCCTGTGCTTGCAAGAAGTGGTCCTTGAATGTTGACCAGCTATCTTGAGCTCCTTTATTTTCTAGCACCCTGTCCCATGGGATTTCCCTTAATAGATGATTGAGGAGACCAAAGTTTGCCCTGTGGAAGTCCAGGGTTCTGGTCCTGCTGGGTATTTTGTTCCTTCCACACAGGATATGTACTCATATAAAATCTGTTTTGTTGTGATTACATCAGCTCAGTTAAGATTTTATTAGCATTTAAATTCTATCACCATGCCTTACAAATTAGGTAGTTAATATTGTACAAACAAGGCAAACAAATAATTATCTTACTGTATTGCTTAATAATCTACCTGGTCTTCTGACATTTTTCAAAAAGAATTTTCAGCTTCAGTACAATACATTTTTTTTCTACTATGTTCTTGTTTGTTACACAGTTGTCAGGCTTTTCACTCTCAGTCTATCCTTCTTTCTCTCTTTCTTTACCTTTCTTCTTTTAGATTCTGTAGTATTGCTACATTAAAAGAGAAAGCAAGGAGACTTGCTATTAAGGGGAAGAAATTCAAAGTAGAGTGAAAAGTCATAGCAGTACTGTGAATAATTAGAATGCAATGATTCTTTGAAATATAAATATGTGTAATTTTGTAGGAGTGTAAAATGGTTTGGTTTTTTTGTCCCTTGTTTTTTCTTTCTGGGTTTCAGTGTTTAGGAGTAAGGTAGGACAGGTAACAGCTTCTGTTGTTCAAATTTAAAAAAATGGAAGAGAATATTTCAGATTATCCCATATTTTGTTTTATTTTTATTTTTCTATTATAACCACTTATTTATTTGTTTATTTGTTTTATCTAAATGTTGCATTTTAAAATGCTTTTAAATTCCCTCTTTCAGAGGTTTACCTTTTCTGAATTCACAGCTCAGCAAATCTGCAGGAATTCAAAACTGTTTCTCTACCACCACATTTGTTTTTATTATGTATGTCTTCAAAAAGAGGTTATTCTAAACATTACAGATTTACCTATGGATAAGAAATCATGAGTTATAATATTATCTTTTCCAATCCTTTCAGTTCTCAGTTTTCTCAGTCTAGCCTTCTCTTTGACTCAAAGATTCTTCCAAGTTTAGTCCACATTGAAACTTGTTCTGGTTCTTCTACTCCAGAACACTTTACCTATCTCTATTTTTTCCTGTATTTTCTTTATTTTAGAAATTCTCTATTCAGTCAAATCATATATTTGCTCTTCTTACAGCACTGCTTTTCTTTAGGTTCCACTGTAAAATCATTAAAATAAGAAGCTTTTAAAGGCCTTTCAATAGCCCTTGGAAAAGGTCCTATGTATATATTTTGGGGGAAAACCTCCCAAAATCTGCATGGAGTGTTTAGACCCTATGTAAAAAAAAAAAAGGAAAAAAAAAAAATAAGTCTTGAAGGCTGCTTTCTCTATTCTCTGTTCTAGAGAAGTAAAAGCATGGTCCTTTCTTTGGAAAAGAGAGGAGAAATTGATGAGAATTAAAAGGCCTGTTCTTAGCAAAATCTTAGCAGGTCTTCAAAAACAGCTCAAAGGGGAGTTTTTTTACTGATTTATGTAAATAGAAAGGCAAAGTTGTCAGAAGCCCAATACAAAATATGGAGTAAAGTTCTTAATCCCCACTCCTAGACATATTATTATTATTAAATCAGAGTAGTTAGGTTGGAAGGGATCTTAAATATCATATAGTTCCAACCTCCCTGCATGGGCAGGGACACCTCCCAGTAGACCAGGTTGATCAAAGTCCTGTCCAGCCTGGCCTTGAACACTTCAGGGATGGGGCATTCACAACTTTTCTGGGCAACTTGTTTCAGTGCCTCATGCCCCTCATGGTGAAGAATTTCTTCCTAATATATAATCTAAATCTACAGTCTTTAAGTTTGAAGACATTACTGCTCATCCTGTAGCACTGGTATTAATAAGTTTGCAGAAAATGTTTTGACATTTTGGCATTTTTTTCATTAACACTAATAGCATTAGGTGTAACAAAAGTGTTAGTTTAAAATTCTGGATACAGAACAGAAGTGAGAATATGCTCGTTCTATATGCATCTGTATAACTGCAATATCTTTTCCTGCTTCATCCAGTGACAATCACAGCACTATAACTGACTTTGGAATTCCAGGCAAAACTTTGTCAGGATAAATATTGATGAATTAGAGTGAACTGAGGGGGAAGGCAGCTTGAGTGTCATCCAGCAAGGATACACATGTAAGAAAGACTTTGTGGAAAAGGCACCTAGATAAAAATAATTTGTAATTTCCCTTTTAGATAGGGAAAAGCAACATCACTTCCTCTTTGGACGTATGGGTAGATGGGTGTGTGTCACATCAGCAGGTTCTGCTAACAAGACAATAGGATAAATATAGCCCTCAAATCTTCAGCAATTCTACTAGATGAGATATAGGTTTTCTCTTTTATTGCAGTTTTCCATATACATAGCTTGGGTTAAAATTTCAAGTGAAATGCATTGCCCTGTGATGCGTTATGTTGCATCTGATCAATCACAATAGACTGTGTTTCATCTTGTGGTGTGTGTTATCATTCTAGTTATCTCACATTACAAAATGACATATCATGTTGGAAATTAGAATCATAAGGAGGACCATTTTTAGAGATTACATTTACGGGAAGTGAGCTGTCAAATTCAGACTACTTTTTCAAGGTGTAGGCTGTTATCAGTGTGGTGCCCTTAACCCTAAACGCTTGCAGAATTGCTTGTCCCAATCGAAGGAATATTATTATCAAGTGAGAGTGATTCCTACACATAGGTTTTTTTGTTTGTTTGTTTGTTTGTTTTAATATATTATTGCTTCATCTCAAGGATTTGCTGAGAAACTTTAAGCCCCCTTGCCTCCAAAAATCTGTAGCTTGAGACTTTTGTGCTGAGGGGTGATAGGAACAATCCACCCCTTGTTACTGCTGCTGGATTAATCTTTGTAGGCAGAGAGTTTCATTACACCACAGAATCCTCTTTTTTTCTATTCCCTGCCCCTCATTCTGTTAACCCAGAATTCTCTCCACAGAGACGTGAATTCCAGATTTTTTTGCATGACAGAATTAGTATTCCCATGCCAAAATTCCAGAGACTTCCAAGTATTTCTCAGCTGGTGCCTCTCCATACCCTTATGCCCTGGCATTCTTCCTAAATGATGATTTAGGATGAATCCTGAAACAGCATCTGGAGAGTAGAGAGGAACTGAGGGGAGGGTGTGGATTTGTGATCAATAATAATAATAATAATAGTATTAATAAGAATATTCTAAATGAATGCAAAGTAGGGGAAAAGTTTACAGGTGAGGCTGCTCTGTAAAGCACTAAGGTGGGTTTCCCTTCTGGAGGTGCACTCAGGCAGCTGTAGCTCTTACACTTAAAATTTTGAAGCCAGCATGGACCACTTGAGTTAGAAACTCAAATCCCTTCTGTTAGCTCACAATTCTGCCTTTTCAGAGTGGAGGAAATTTGGGAGTTATTAAATACCCTGTATGTGGATTCTGAGAATTTAACTTGCTATGCCTGGCTCTATTTTAATAGGCAAGATGGGAAGACTCAAAACAGTGGCGTTTGTGTGTGGCAACTGAACTGCCTGATTTAGTAGAATCACAGAGGGCAGGAGGAGGAGGTGGAGGAGGAGGAGGAGGCCGAAGCTTCTCAGGCTCCAGGAATGGGCGGCGTGGAAGCTCCGGCAGAAACAGATTCAGAGGCAGAGGACAGAAACGAAGCTTTGACAGAGCATTTGATCGTTAATCCAGAAGTGGGGAAAAATGGGACTGCAGTATTTTATATTACATTAAAATAGGCTGTTCCTCTGTGTTTGTGCCACTTGGAAAAATCTGTCATTCAACTTTTTTTTTCTCAGTACCACTTTGGTCATAAACAGGATTCTTTTCACTTTAAACAAACAAACAAAACCCACAAGAAAAATAAAGCTGTTGTTTCCTTTCTTTCTCTTACTGCCCTTTCAACTCTAAGACCTAAATCTTTATTCCAGAATATGTCTGTCACAATCAAAACTGTAGCCTGGGTTACTGTATAATAATACATAGATCTTAACTGCTGGTCAAACCTGTACATTTTCCAAAAAATAAAATATTATTTTACAAGTTCATAATCTATTTTAGAAGGTTTTAAAAGTGTCTGTTTGGCAAACATGACAAGCATAGTTTGAGTAGACACACTTGGAGTAAGTTTGTTAAAGAAGCATAGAATTGTTCTGGTCAGAAAAGACCTTTAAGATCATTAAGTCCAACTGTTAATGCAGCCCTGCCAAGGCCACCACTCAACCATGCCCCTCAGCACCACATCTACAAGGCTTTTAAACACCTCCAAGGGTGGTGACTCCAGCCCTGGGCAGCCTGTGCTGCAGGCACTTGGCCTTGTTGAACCTCATACATTTGGCCTCAGCCCATCAATCCAGCCTGTCCAGATCCCTCTGTAGAACTTTTCTATGTTCACAGACCAACACTCCCCCTAACTAGGCATCACCTGCAAGTTTACTGAGGATGCACTTGATCCCCTCATCCGGGTAATTCATAAAGATACCAAACAGAACTGACCCAGGCACTGAGCCCTGGGGAGCACCACGGGTGAGTGGATTTAACTCCCATCCTCTTGGTCCAGCTATCCAGCCAGATTTTACCTGGCAAAGTGTACACCAGTCCAAGCCACGAGCAGCCAGTTTATCCAGGAGAATGCTGTGGGAAATGGTGTTAAAAAGCTTTACTAAAGTCCAGGTAGGCAAAATCCACAGCCTTTCCCTCATCTGCTAAGACCTGCTTCACAAATCCATGCTGACAGGGCCTTGTTGTCTTGCACGTGCTGCATAGTAGCACTCAAGATGATTTGCTCTACAACCTCCCTCGGCATCGAGGTCAGAGCAGCAATCCTGTAGTTCCTTGGGTCCTCCTTCCAGCCCTTCTGGTAGATGGGGGGTCACACTCCTATCACCCGGGTTAGCCAAGACTGCCGAAAGATGACGGGAAGCGCCCTGGCGAGCAGGATACACGAAGCATTTACATACGTTACTACACATGCTAACGTGTAATGTTAATTACTACACATGCTAATATGCCGGCAGAGGTAAGCGGGATGCAGTCACGCGGCTCCCGCGTCCGAAGCGTGGCGACGGGAGCCCCGTGCGGGCAGGAACCGGCTGCCAAGCCCGAGGGGGGAAGCCGGAGGAAGGGACC